GTAAGTCAACGAACTACAGTGTCTAGCTGGGATCTGTTGAGAACTACCGACCTTCCAATTGTAGCACTTACTGCTGGATTTACAACCTTGAGCATAACTGTTACCTTTATTCTTATTGTATTGGTTTTTACAATAAACCTTTACTTATTTTATCCACTGTGTTTTTAAAGTATATATTCCTACTAGCATGGAATATAACTCTTTTGTTGTTCTAATTCTCCATTATGACCCTTGTCTCTGTGGCACTTGTTCTGCCATCCATTTGCTGAAAATTGTCAAGTAGGTTTCCTGTTGTTTTCTTTTGCTTCTCATGTCTTTACAATTTGCTCTGCAGGTGTTAATTTCTCCAAGCAATCTTTCCTTACTTTGTGCTCCAAAACATTCAGCTATTTCTTTCTGATTGTTTGCAGAAATTTTGTTGTAGTTCCTTGAATCTTACAGGCTCTGTCCACAGTATTCTCAGCATTTGTTAGTGGCATTACATGTCTATAGCTTCAAGTCTTTTCTTCATGTTGAAAACCTACCACCCCTCTTGAAGATGAACTTGTCTGCGTCTGTGAACAAAGACTTTAAATAGTGGCATGTCAGTTGACATGGGGGAGACAGATAGACAGAGAAGTTCTTAGCTGAGCTAGTTATTGACTACTCAGGCGATTTCTGTACCTTTCTACCAACCTATTAAAACCCTTTTTATTGTTACATGTTATTTGGCGCTTGTCTCTACTAACCCCAAATCAACATTATAACACTTCATCTGTGAGATTATCAGTATTTATTACCACTGACCTCTTAAAAACCAATATTTGAAGTCTCAACTTTTATCTGGGCATGAGCAACTTTTCGCAGGGAGCACTAATCCCATCATGTTTTTTTCTTCTTTTCTAAGAATATTGAATTACTGAGTTATCTTTTCTTTCTAAGAATTCTGAATTATTATCTCTTACCAGTTTGTATTGTACCATGATGTAGAGATGTAGAAAGAGATTATCTCCTTTTTGACAGTATGAAGTTACTAAAGGAGCCCTTGCATACCACTGGTCAGCCCACTGGAGAGAATAGTAGCACCTTAGCTTACAATGGAAGCAGACAAGAAATCTAGTTACAGGTTAGCTAACCATGGATGGAAAGGGTAAAAATCTTTATGCATCCTCAATAGGAACCGAATATATATCATCAGGACAGTACCGAGTCCCACTGGGGGACTTTACAAGTAAAATCTTTTTTTTCATATTTGTCCCTTTTGCATATTGCTTTCTTTTTTTATATATGTGTTAATTTCTCTGTGTGGGACACTTTGAGACATATGTATATAAATATATATATTTATGTATTGCAGCTTAGTATGACTTATATTTTTGTACTTTAGTGTTACATAAAAAATGTTTTCATGTATAAGTATTTTAGTCCTTCCTTCTATTGTGTTAAGGAATTAGTATATCATGGATATACTAATGCCTATAGTGTATCTTGGAGAGTTGAGAAGACCAAAATATTTTCTCTCTCTTTCCAAGCACCCAATAAAAGGTTTTGAACTTAAAAATTAAATCAATGTAAATATTCAGCTGATGAAAGAAATAGAAGTCCTGAAACATATAACAACATTCAATAAAAAATATAATAAATATAATAAATATAATAATATAATAATATAATAATATAATATGTAACTATTTCTGCTACAGAGACTATAGCTTCTCTTTGTACAGCATTGCTCAGTTCTTTGAGGAGACATCTTTTAATAGCTTTAACTTTTTTCTACCTTGTTCTGATTATCATTTCTTTTCAGATCAATGATGACAAACATAAAGTTAACTCATTGGGTGCTTCATACTTTTGGCCTTGTGTCGCATCTAAGCTATGCTTAGAAAATCCCCATCAAGCTAACCCAGCAAATGAAAAGGCATGCTGTAATCATTGCCTTAAAGGCAAAGCATAGGGATTACTCACTTCCTAAAATTTGCAGGTTCATTTATTGTCAAAGTTCACATTGAGCTGGAATCCGCTTTTGAGGATTCTACATTAGTAGCCAAATGTAAAACACATGCTAAGTGCCCTAATACCATCAGAACATGCAATTGCATATGAATAGTGCAGAAAATTATTAATAAAAACTCAAGAAAGTCAATTAACATTATTACTAATGAGCACAATGTTTCAAGTCACAGAAAAATTATGCATGATGGCCTTTGATAAAAGACCAATTCATCAACAATGACAAAAGATAACTGTATGATACAAATTAAAACATCAAGAGTCTGAAATGCTTTGGTTTTTTTCTCTGATGAGAAAAACTGATCGAAACCAAAAGGTCAACTGAAGAAATGAGAGATGATTATGTAGGGACCCTAAAGACATTCCAACTGTCATGCACACAAAGTTTCCAGCAACTGCAATGGTTCTGGGTGTCATGAGCAATGAGGAAGATATCATACCACTTCACTTCTTTCCTCAGACTATAAGAAGGTGTTGGAGGAGTTTCTGAGACCTTTAATAGAGAACATAAGCAAAGGAAGACCATATATCTACCAACAAGACTCTATGCTGTCTCATACAGCCAAAATAACCTAGGAATTGATGAGTTACAATCTCCACAATCACATCATCCCATGGCCTCCTAGCTCTCTGGATTTGAAGCTATTGGACTACCACATATGGGGTCTAGTTGAGAGAGACAAAAATCAATGGCCCCATTACACTGTAAAATGTCTGCAGTCTGCCATAATTAGCACAATGTCCAAAATAGATAAAGGTCATCTGATTCTGGCATGAAACATTTCAGACCTTGTATTGAGGTAGCTATCAATGCTAACAGAAGATTCATTAAGCAGATGCATTAAGAATAGTCTCAAGATTATTCATGCCAATTTTGAGGTAGCTATCAATGCTAACAGAAGATTCATTAAGCAGATGCATTAAGAATAGTCTCAAGATTATTCATGCCAATTTTGAGGTAGCTATCAATGCTAACAGAAGATTCATTAAGCAGATGCATTAAGAATAGTCTCAAGATTATTCATGCCAATTTTGAGGTAGCTATCAATGCTAACAGAAGATTCATTAAGCAGATGCATTAAGAATAGTCTCAATATTATTCATGCCAATTTTTTCTCTGATAAAGCTCTCCTTTCATGACTTATGTGTCTTTTACTAAACTCAAGCAAAAGTCCTCAAATAACTGAGCAGTCCTGTACAAACTGTAAGATATCAAGAGCTTTTATTTTGTGATTAAATTTGCACTTGGTTTTCAATTTCATGCATTGAAATCAATTCCCCATGTCAGATAATTCTGTAATAAACTTATTGTTTTTTTTAATCAATTCATCTCACACAAAGCAATAATGCCATGAAGATGCAAGGGATCACTAAGAGTGAAAGAGAAGGAAAAGACTTTAGAAGGAATCAGAAACCCAATCCTAAACAGGAAACAAGGGGTAAACCTCTACTCTTGTTCAAAAGACCAGGGAGGAGTGTGAACCTATTTATTCTTATTAGATGTATAATTAAGAAAATATATACACACCCACAATACTCATGCACATCCATTATATATATATATATATATATATATATATATATATATATATATAGGCAAATATGATGGTTTTATCAATTTTAATTACGTTTTCAAAAGTACTTTTCAATATGTACTCTAATTCATATATATGTATATATATATATATATATATATATATATATATATATTTTTATATATATATATATATATATATTAGTACATGTATATATAGTATTTAAACACACACACACATATATGTGTGTGTGTGTGTGTGTATTCAAATACTGTCGACAAAACTCAAAAAAGAGAAATTATATTTTTATTATTACAGTGTGTTTGTTGTTTGGTTGAATAAAATGTTGGTTCTTTCAAAGGACTAAGCAGTCTGTTTGCTTGGTGGCCAAGAAGACTTCTTGGAAGGGAGTGAGTTGGGTCTTATCACTACCACACCTATTTTTTTTTTAAAATTTTACCCCAAGCAAGGCAGTAAAGCCACTAAGACATGAGAGGTTACTAAGTGCGAGACAATAAGAAAAAAGAGAAATATTATTAAAGAGTGAGAACAATAAAAGAATAATCAAGCAGTGGGTAGATAACCACTGACATTGCACTTAAACTTTTGAAGACCAAAGTTGACTGGAAAGCATGGAGTTGTAAAATATGTTCACAAGCGAGAAGTGTGTGAAAACAAACTATTACCATAGAACTTACAGTTATATATAGCGAATTCAACTGTGAGACCTTGTTGCTAATTTAGTACTGTGCTTAAATTCATTTTCATACAGCTTTATACAATACCACCTTGTGTGTGCGTGTGTGTGTGTGTAAAGTCCCCTAGAAGAATGGGTGGTATAGTACCACATCACAAATGAATACTTAAATTTTAAATTCTTTTTTGTTCAGAAAAATACAACAAATACTGCTATATTTTGGCAGATATGGACACAAAGATTTGAAAAACTAATTTAAAAAAATATTTCAATGTTATAAAATCTTGTAGCCATGCCAGATAAAAACAAAATGCTCAAAAAAGAAGGATATTAATTTGGTTTCAGAAATCAGAAATGTTTTCAAAAATGTTTTTTTGAGAGGTTTTGTAGAGAATGGTTGATTTTGTGTGAAAAACAACAAGCCAGAAATGTAAACATGGATGAACTTACTAAGTAAAGATTACTGGGTAATTTTAGTTCTTTGTTGAAATGACAAGGTAAAAAGAATAACAGGAATGAAAGGATAAGTGATGGCCAAATAAGGCAACGAAAAAAAAAAAACATAAATGTTATTAGAATTGGATTGGAAAGGGAAAAATACAAAAGAACAATGAAGAAATAAAAAAAACATGAAAAAAAGTGAAAGATAAAAAATAGAATGAAAGAAATACTAAATGAGAGAGTGGAAAGTGAAAAGTGAGAAGAGAGAAGAAAATAAAAATACTAAATGAGAGAGTGGGAAGTTAAAAGTGAGAAGAGAGAAGAAAATAAAAATACTAAATGAAGTGGGGAATGTGAAAAGGAGAAGAAAGAATGAAAAAAAAAAATGCAAGATGAAAGGGGAAAGCAAAAGAGTGAGAAGTCAGAAAGAAAATAGAAATACTAAATGAGAGTGTGGGAAGGAAATGTGAGAAGAGAGAAGAAAATAGAAATACTAAATGAGAGAGTGGGAAGTGAGAAGAGAGAAGAAAATAAAAATACTAAATGAGAGTGGGGAATGTGAAAAAGGAGAAGAAAGAATGAAAATAAAAATGCAAGATGAAAGGGGAAAGCAAAGAGTGAGAAGTCAGAAAGAAAATAGAAATACTAAATGAGAGTGTGGGAAGGGAAATGTGAGAAGAGAGAAGAAAATAGAAATACTAACTGAGAGAGTGGGAAGTGAGAAGAGAGAAGAAAATAGAAATACTAAATGAGAGAGTGGGAAGTGAGAAGAGAGAAGAAAATAAAAATACTAAATGAGAGAGTGGGAAGTGAAAAGTGAGAAGAGAGAAAAATAAAAAATACTAAATGAGAGTGGGGAATGTGAAAAGGAGAAGAAAAGAATGAAAAATAAAATGCAAGATGAAAGGGGAAAGCAAAGAGGAGAAGTCAGAAAGAAAATAGAAATACTAAATGAGAGTGTGGGAAGGGAAATGTGAGAAGAGAGAAGAAAATAGAAATACTAAATGAGAGAGTGGGAAGTGAGAAGAGAGAAGAAAATAGAAATACTAAATGAGAGAGTGGGAAGTGAAAAGTGAGAAGAGAGAAGAAAATAAAAATACTAAATGAGAGAGTGGGAAGTTGAAAAGTGAGAAGAGAGAAGAAAATAAAAATACTAAATGAGAGTGGGGAATGTGAAAAAGGAGAAGAAAGAATGAAAATAAAAATACAAGATGAAAGGGGAAAGCAAAGAGTGAGAAGTCAGAAAGAAAATAGAAATACTAAATGAGAGTGTGGGAAGGGAAATGTGAGAAGAGAGAAGAAAATAGAAATACTAAATGAGAGAGTGGGAAGTGAAAAGTGAGAAGAGAGAAGAAAATAAAAATACTAAATGAGAGTGGGGAATGTGAAAAAGGAGAAGAAAGAATGAAAATAAAAATACAAGATGAAAGGGGAAAGCAAAGAGTGAGAAGTCAGAAAGAAAATAGAAATACTAAATGAGAGTGTGGGAAGGGAAATGTGAGAAGAGAGAAGAAAATAGAAATACTAAATGAGAGAGTGGGAAGTGAGAAGAGAGAAGAAAATAGAAATACTAAATGAGAGAGTGGGAAGTGAAAAGTGAGAAGAGAGAAGAAAATAAAAATACTAAATGAGAGAGTGGGAAGTTAAAAGTGAGAAGAGAGAAGAAAATAAAAATACTAAATGAGAGTGGGGAATGTGAAAAAGGAGAAGAAAGAATGAAAATAAAAATACAAAATGAAAGGGGAAAGCAAAGAGTGAGAAGTCAGAAAGAAAATAAAAATACTAAATGAGAGTGTGGGAAGGGAAATGTGAGAAGAGAGAAGAAAATAGAAATACTAAATGAGAGAGTGGGAACTGAGAAGAGAGAAGAAAATAGAAATACTAAATGAGAGAGTGGGAAGTGAAAAGTGAGAAGAGAGAAGAAAATAAAAATACTAAATGAGAGTGGGGAATGTGAAAAAGGAGAAGAAAGAATGAAAATAAAAATACAAGATGAAAGGGGAAAGCAAAGAGTGAGAAGTCAGAAAGAAAATAGAAATACTAAATGAGAGGGGGGAATGTGAAAAAGGAGAAGTGAGAAAAAAAGTAGAAATTCTAAATAACAGTGAAGAGTGAAAAGTGAGAAGTGAGAAGTGAAAATGGTAATAGTAATGTTTGCCATTTCCTTATAAGTAAACATTCAACATTCATTGACTGAGCAGACATTAATCAGATGAAATATATAAAATCTTTCTCTTAAAACAATTTTTCAGGTTTCTCAAGTCCAGTAGATGTTATTTCTCTTTCCAGTATTGATGAGGGTTTCCTTTGTAACTGTTTATTTGTAGCGTGGAATGTCGTCAACATGATTATAAAGAAAATTAAAATAAATAAAAATAAGAGGGCAGGGTGAAATGAAAAGCGTGAAGAAAGAAGGAAGTAGAAATATTAAATGGGGTGGGGGAGCTGAAAAGAAGAAAGAACATCAAAAGTAAGAAAAATTGAAAAGAAAGAAAGGTGAGTTGAAATATAATTATATGAAGAAATAGATATGAAAGAAATTTGAATGAAAGGAAAGATCTAAGAAGGAAAGAAGTTTAAAAAAGAGGAAAGGAAATGAATCAAGAAAGTAAAAGAGGAAGACAAAAAAATAAAATGTGAAGGAAAATAAGAAAGAAAAGTAGTTGAAAATAGATAAGGCATAGAAAAATAAATGAAAGAATATAAAAAGAGAAGACTAACTGACTGATTTTTTATGGGTTATCAACCTTCTTCAGATTATTTAGACCCAGAAAATGTTTAGATTGTATGAATTTTTTAAAATAATAATAATAATAATAATAATATATATATATATATAATAAATATTATGTGTATATATATGTATGTATATTTATATGATTGCATATGTATGTGCATATTTACCACTAATATTATATATATATATATATATATAATATAATATATAATATTATAATCTATAATAATGATGATAATAATAATAATATAATCTATATAATATAATAGTAATTTGGAAATAATAATTTTTGGGGGGGAATAATGATTTACTGATCCAAGTCCTACTACTGTTTGAAAATAGACAAGGCATAGGAAAAATAAATGAAAGAATATAAAATGAAAAGACAATCACAAAAAAAGACTGATGGATTTTGTTTTTATGATTTACCAACCTTTTTCAGATTATTTAGAGCCAGAAAATATTTTTAGATCATATGAATTTTTTAGAAATAATAATGATTTACTGACACAAGTCCTACTAATTAACCTATAGCTCGGGAATTCATACCTTTCCCACAGGTATTTTAATTCATACCTTTTCCAAGGGTAATTGCACATAAATGAATATAACAAACCAAACTGAAATTGAAATTCATCTCTCTGGTTTCCAATTCCAAGCCATTATCCAATACCCCACCTGCACATCCAACTTTACAACACCTGATATTCCAAAGCAGTCACTCATTTAGGTACTGATTAGGCTTGAGATTGCTTAACTTTGGTGATTGTGTGAGAACCAATGTTTCAATCTGATATGGCCATAAGCCAGAAAGAAAGCGAAGTGAAGGAAAATGAAAAAACAGATAAAGGAGATCAAAAATGAATGATTAGCTGTTTACTGATAAAAAAAAAATAGAGAAGTATTAAACTTATTTTTGTTTATAAATAAAGAAAACAGTAAAGAAGAAAGAATATAAGAATAGAAAACTCAGATATGAAGAATTATAGGAAAGGATTAATGTACAAAAGAATAAAATTGCTGAGAGAGAATTTAAAAGAGAGAAGAGCAGAAAAAAAAGAGATAGACTGAGAAAAATTAAGAGTCCAAGGAAGAAAGCGGCAATTAAAAACAATAAAAAGAATATGAAATATAAATGCAATGACAGTAGGTTTGTTTTTATTTTTATGCTATCCATTCTTCTGCTATCATTTTTTCTTCTTTTTTTTTTGAGAACTAGAGGAAAAATAACAAAACTGAAAAAGAAAGCATTACAAAAAGATAAGCAATAATGAAAAGAAAAGAGAAAAAAATAATTATTACAAGTCTGCAAAATGAATGAAAAAGATGATAAAAAACATGATACTTTTAAAATAAATTTTATTTAATTTTTTTAACTTAAGTTCACCCAATACAAAGCCTAAGGGCCACTCAAAGTAGAGGTTTACTGTGTTGACTTATATCAGCATAAGAAAAGGCAAGATAATAGGAAAGTTAGATAGCTAACTCCAAACTTAAAGAGGTCAAGATTTAATTAATGAATAAAATTTCAGAGTTCAAGCAGAGACATTAGGAGTATAGAGTTAAAGTAGACTTAAAAAAGAACTAGAAATGCAGTTATAAACAGGAAGCAAGAGATGAACCTCTACTCCTGTTCAAAAGGCTGGAAAGGAGTATGAACCAGACAATAGGCAAACCTATCTACTGCTATTGGGAGAGAAAAAGAATAATAATTACTGAAGAAAATTTCAGATGTCAGAAACGAGGTATAAACTTCTGTTCAAAAAAACTGTGGAGAAGTATAAACTGGAGCCTCTCTACTCCTAGAAAAAGAAAATATAAAAAACTGAAAAGCTAAAAAAAAAAAAAAAAAAAAAAAATGATGGAAGAGAGATAAAGAAATAAGTATTGTGAATAAAGGAAATGTCAGGACTTAAAATAATGTTTTTAGAATTTGAAAATCATGGAAATAGAAGTAAGTAAAGTGAATTTTAGAAAAATGAGTTTAAAAATCAATATATATATATATATATATATAAAGTTGTAACCTCTGTCTGTTTGTTACTGAACTCCTCTTAGTTTTGAATATAGACCCCCATAACCATATATATTCTGAAAATATATTACCCCAGGTACTTGGATAAGTATACCTCATTTTGATTTAAGGGGGTCCCGGTGGTTAAGCCCCCACTGAAATTTTTTTTTTTTTTCCCTTTGATATAAAGTAAATTTAAATTTAAACAAGGGAATGGCTCCCAGGGTACTTAGATAAGCAAGTTTCATTTTGATAAAAGGGGGTCTCTGCCACCCCTTCACACACACACATGCCCTGAAAATATTTTTTTCCCTTTGATTTAAATTCAATTTAAATTTGAACAAATGAATGACTCCTATCCAAAATATAGGAGGAGAAAACCAGAAGACGGAGGTCATATTGGCGATATCAAATGAGACAATATGGACATCAAGATGAGAAAGAAATCACCAATCAGTGGGTAGTGCTTTACAGTACATATTTATTGCGACAATTCAACTGTCATGTCAATATTGAAATTTGCTCATCAATTCATTCAATTAAGTATTAAATCAAATATATATCAAAAGGGTCAGATCAAGCTG